GCCCCGGCCCAGCCCGCGCAGCCGCGCGCCGATGCGCGGCGCTGAGGGCGGCGGGATGGCGCTGTGGCGGGGGCTGCGCTGGTGCCGCCGCGCCTTCGCCTGGCTGCCCGTGCTGCTCATCGCSCTGCTCCTGCTCTGGTCCTACTACGGATACGTCTGCGAGCTCTGCCTCGGTGAGTGCCTGCCCGCGCCCGGCGGGGCCCGCCCGCCACGGGCCGCGCCTCGGCACCGGGAGGAGCGACGGGCCGGGGGCTTCGGGCCATTCCCCTTTTCCTCCTGCTTTTCCCTTCTTTCTTCTCTTTCTCCTCCTCCTCCTCCGCCTCCTCCTCTTTCCCCACTCTTCTTTCCCCTTCTCCCCTTCCTCCTTGTTCTCCTCATTCTCTCCTCCTCCTCCTGCCGTTCCCGGTGTGAGCGGGGCCCCGTGCCCGCCCCGGTGCAGCGCGGTGTCCCAAGGCTCCGGTCCCGGCACTCATCGTGCAGAGGGAGAAATACTTTATTACGAGTCGAGTCCATTCCGGGATTAATGTGGGGGTTTAGGGCGTGCTGCCCTGTTTTCCACAGGACTTGTCCCCCGGCTGGGGTGGGTGGGGTGGGTGCGGGTTGTGGGTGCTGTTTGTTAGTCATGAGCCCTTGTTTTGTGCATCCCTGTCAGCAGRGAGGTGGCGTTTGAGAGGATTAAGAGAGTGATGCCACAGTGAAAGCCGGTGTTGTGATTTGATAACGTCCAGATGTGATTTATGAGCTAAACAGTAGCAAACATTAGTCTATGCCCTGCCTTACAATCGTTCTTTYTTATATTCTGAAAAGGAAAGAAGTTACATGAAATTACACTCAGACGTCGACTTGTTACAGTAGCACGGAAAACACTAGGTTTTAGAAAAGGCTAGTAATTGTACATTGACTGTAGCAATTTAATTGTATAGCAAGTTGCAAACTTTCTTATATTTGTTATTTCTAGTTCAATGTGTTACTAGAAAAAAGGGTTGCCAGGTTTGGTGGAAAGAAAAGCTGTCAGCTTGGACTTGTGAAATGGTGAGGGGGAGATGTCGCTCCTCAGGACAGAGTAAGGCAGRTAAAAGAAACCAAAGATCCCAGAAAGTATAGTCTGAGATGTTCGTGTGACAGGAGGTGCCTTCTGGTGCTGCACAGCAAACGTAAATCAGGTGTTCATTAGGGTTTGTGCAGTGAGCTCTGTTGTTTTCTCTTCATGGGAACTAGAATGAAGTGCAGCTTCTTGGGTCTGTTTTAATCAGCAGCTTGGCAAAGCCCCCAAACACTTCATCACGTTTATCCCATCTATCTCTGAGWCTGTGGGCTGTTTCTTTCAAGAATTCACATAGAATATCTCCGAGGTGCATGTAACTGTCATTAGAACATGTGACAAAAAATGTGGCGTATTTTCCTGAAATGCTGTCAGTCTTTTGAAATGTGCTGTGCAAATTCCATAATGCTGAACTCGGGCTGATCCCAGGTCTGGGTGCAGCTGTTAGAGGAGACTCAGGTGATTTGAGGAAGGTTTGGATTGGGGCTGCATTGCTCTGCAAATGTTTGTTCAGCTGGCAGGAGCTCAGCTCACTGCCTGGAATCACAGCTTAAAATCAYTCATTTGCTCACACCCGCCTATTTTTTTGCCCCATTTCTTCCTCATCTCTTTTATTTGTGTGTGGAGGAGTTTATCTATGCAGAAGTTGAAATGACTAAATTATTTCAGGTTTTGAGCATGAACTGTTGATCTGTGCTGTTACTTGCAAACCACCTCCCAGGACTTTCTCTTGTCTCCATATTTCTGACACAGCAAGGCTTGCTGTGCTGGCTGCCTCTTCCCAGCTGCTGTGAGCATGTAAATACTGAATGCTTTGTCTGGAATCTTGGTTTGTGTCTTCAGTTGTGCTGAGTCCTGGAAATGCTGCGGGGTGATGTCTGGGAGGCATCTCCTGATACTGGATTTGAACTCTGTCACTGGGGTGGCCAGTGAGTCATAGGAGGAAGCTTCATTTCTTGTTTGGCTGGTACAGTGACAGCAATGATCCTGCCATAAAATCTTTTATATAATCTGTGTTTTTGCTCTTTTTTCTAATAAAATCCTTAGCAAGGCCCTGCTACAGTTGTGATCAGGAGGGAGCCAGGCAGTGTTTGTGAAAAGCTCCTCATAGCTTGACTGGCAGCAAACCAAAGGAAAAACTAAAGGTTTCCTATCAGTCTTATTTACCTGAAAYTGAGTAGGCAGAGACATAACAAAGATTCAGGGGCTTTTTTTATCTTCATTGCTGTGTGTCACAGAACTCTGTCTTCCAAGCAACGTTCTGTCAAAATACCAGAGAACTCTCTGTTCTCAGTTAAAGAAAGCTGTCCTTGTCTCTTCTGTTAAACTTGGGTGCTGGCTTTTCAAATAAAATAATGGATGGATTTTCAAATAGTTGCTACGAGGAGACATTGAACAATGTTCCTTTTACTGGTTGCTCAAAGGGGTTTTGTTAGTAGGGCTTTTCTCTCATTATGGTGAACTAAGAAGGAGGTTATAAAATTTCTGCTGGTACAAAGTGTAAAAACCATGGAGTCATTGCAGTTGCTTAGTAGGCCAAAGCTGAGAAATTGATATCTTTTTAATTATGCTGATGCAGAAATGCTTTGGGACAGTGCTTACAGTAGAGGGTCAAGATCACCTGGAGATCAGTAGAAAGCAGTGCAAGCATGAGAATGCACAGAGATTCAGCTTGAACAGGTGCTAGAAGGAGCACTGGTAATCTTGTCACACCACTGTCACCAGAGGATTGGTTTTGTCATATTTCTAATGCAAAACATCCAGAAGATAYTTTATCAGCAGGGGAAATACAGCATAAGTAACAGTTACTGAACATCTTGCTGTGGGTGTGTGCGTGAGTGAAGAGTTGTTATGGATGTTTTGATTTGATGCTGAACTGTTGGTTCTCTCTTTGCCTCTTGAATTTGAAGAGTTTTTTCCTAAAATGGCTGTATTTCACATAGAAATGCTATTTGTCTGAAACTTCTGTGAAATTCCAATTTGCTCTGTGGACACATGTTTTTATTTTCTTTTCCAGTGACTGTGAGCAACCCTGTGGAGAAAGGTACGTGTGACARTTTATTATTTGACACTCATTCCTTGTGTAAAAGTATTGACAAATGTTCTGGCTGAAATATCAGAAATATTTGCTGCCCATTTTTTAAAGGTACTTCCTTTTCCAGTGTTTCCCTSCTGTAATTACACCCTCCTGCGGTACACAGCATGCTGCCCCTSCTGGGTGCATTGGGAAATGCCCTGTTTAGTCACAGGATGGGCAGAACATGGGAAAGGCTTTGATCCCTCTGACTCTTTCAGGAAAAGCTGTGCGTGTCTGTGCACACCCACACGCCTCTTCTCCTTTCCCTTTCACATTTCTAGAGCTGATTTTACAAGCCAAACAGAAAATACTAGTTCCCATCTGCAGCCCACCTGTTTTTTTTTTTCCACTATTCCATTTGATCTTTCAGTGGAAGCTATTTTTGATAAGCTTTTTCTCTCAGTTYTGGTGCCCACTAACAGATCTTGAGTCATAAACACAGCAGGATTACTCAATGACACTCTTTAGACYGGTGTGTTGGTGGAGGCCACAGTCATGTTCTAAGAATAAGGAGTCAGTGGCTATTTTAATATTCTTCCCCTTCTTTCCTGGAGGTGCTTTGGATGCTTTTGGCTAATCCAGGTGTTCTTTTGGTGACTTTCTTCTTCTGGGRTTATGAAGGCCAGAGGTAGGTGTAGTGTAAGCTGTTCCATGAAGAACAGTGCCAGCTGACATTTAAAGATCCTCCAGATTGCTGCATCCAGTAAATTCTCTTTCCCCTGTAGAACAGTTCTAATGTTTGATTGTTACAGAGAAACTACAAAAAGCAGGATGTTAATGATTACTCAGAAGAAGGAAGTTAATAGTTCCCTAATCTATTAGTGCATCTCCAGGTCAGCTTACTCTACCATGCTCTGTGCTGCTTGATTGACAAAATTAAATCTGTTGCAAGATTTATCTCCTTACATATTAATTTAAAGTGGCTGAGTCCCACCTGCATGTAGTGTAAGGATAACATCTCCAACCAGCTTGGAGCACGAGAATTACTTGGCTGTGATTCACAGCTCCTTTCCCCGGTCCGTCACGTCCTTGTGAGATGTGTCCCATCATCTGCCATCTCATTAGAAAGTCTCAGTGATGCATTTGGCCTTTTTTAACGATTTTCACACAGGAAAATAAGTGTTTTGACACAGTTGAGAAGTGTTTAGATTTTAGATTTCTCTTYCCAAGTAGTTGTTTTAATCTTATTTTCTAGAATGTGAAGCTTAAATGAAAWGGGGGAAATGAGATTGTTATTGCAATTAAATGATGTATTTAAATAAAGCTATCTTGTAACTGTTTGATAACATCTTAATGAGCTGAGTGTTGAAGAAATGGCAAATAGTTCATGGGCTGAAGGACAGCTCCCTTGGCTCCCTGTCCATGGAATRCCTTCTAAAATCCAAAGGCTCTGAAATAAGGTCTGCATGTTGAGCTAACACTACTCTGACACACACTGGTTTCATGTGATATCTTTGTGTCTGGTGCTTTACAGTTCTTCCTCAGTAATCACAAGACCTATTTTGCTCAATTTTCCTTATTTGTTTTATTGTATCAACTGTGGCAAATGTAAAATACATTTAATAAGATATTTGCCTTTTTCTGGTGGTGTAAAGCTCAAGTAATTTCTCTCTGCCCTCACAAGTAGAACGTGGTTCAGGAGGGGGCAGTGCACTCTCTGCTTCCACCTGCATTTAGTAGCAATGAACCCCAGTACTGGGAGGTGCCTGAATATTGCAAAATTCACCTTTACGCTGCTCAGCACCAGCCAGTTCTGCCGGGCCTGTGCCTGGGATGTGGGGAAGGGACAGGGGTCCTGTCACTCCCAGTGATATGGGATTTTCACCTGCCCTGGGGGACAGTTCTCTTACAGCTGCATCTTCCTCAGCCATGTAATGGGATCAGGTGGAGCAGGGGAGGCTGTGAGATTGGTCACCCCTGAGCTCTGGGATGCTGCTGACCCTGAGCCATAGGGTTTAGCTGGACTGTAGTAAAGGGTGGTACTGGATGAACATCTGTCTTTTCCTTTCTTTTATTTATTTKTTTGACACTGYGAAAAATTTGAATTATGCCCMTCATGGATGAAACCTTTGCTTAAGAAGTCATTTCTCAGTTTCTATTTTTTCTTTTCTTGTTTTGTTTTTAGTGACCTATCTTGTAATATTCCATATTCTCTTTGTGCTCTTTGTGTGGACATATTGGAAGTCTGTTTTCACTCTCCCAATACCRCCAGGCAAAAAGGTAAGAGACCAAACACTTTTCATTCCTTGCAAAACAAAAGCAGAGATGTTAAAGAGAACTCAAAATTCCTCCAGTCTAGTTGATCTGGAGAGGACAGTCAGATACAGACATGTTTGAATTCTTTTCTAACAAATGTTTACTTTGTCATGTTTCTTGGATTGCTAGATCTATTTTTTTTTTCTTTTGGTTTTACCTCTCTATGAACTACTAACAAAACACCATGTCTGGAGCAACAGAATGAGGTCTATATTTGTGTGGCACTCCAAATATGTGCAGCCTTGAKCTGATCCTGATTACAAGAATGTAAATTTATAAATAACTACTAAACCTGGTTTTAAAAATATAAAACAGTGGCTGGAGACAGATTCTTGCTCCCTAGAGAGATGCTGAAAGTGTTATAAGAGTGAGTAATGGTGTCCACATAAAGCAGCAATTGGAGCAATTCTAGGAAGTTGTTTTATGAGCCTTAATTTCACCTTTTCATTTCTTACTGATGTGTCTCTCAGTGTTCTGGCTGTCCAGCAYTCACCATCTCCCTTTGTCTTCTTAACAACCACATTTTCCCACTATATTAATCTCAGGAGCAGGAGTGGGAGGTAAAAAGGTTTCCCAGCTTGCCTGTATTTGAAATCCTCTCTCTGCTGTCCATGAGTGACTGTTCCTCTCATGGCCTCTCCTCCCAGTTCCACATGTCCTACGCTGACCAGGAGCGCTACGAGAACGAGGAGAGGCCCGAGGTGCAGAGGCAGATCCTCGCCGAAATCGCCAGGAAGCTGCCGGTGTACACCAGGACAGGGAATGGAGGTCAGCTCAGCAGGGAGCTCGTGGCCCCAAATCCACCCACACACACTCAAGTGGCACTCCAGAGGATCCTGCTGGCCAACCCAGTGCCACTGCCAACCCATTCCCAGTGCCACTGCAGGCACCCCCTAACTCACATGCAAAGGATTTGAATGTCTTTGCTCTCAGGGAAAACAAAAAAAGCCTTGAACCCTCCCATTTGGTGCAGTGTCAGGTKCTGCCTTTGAGAAGCAGAACGTTAMCCTTTGGATTTACAGCTCAAAAGCCCACATGTGCTGCCTGTGTTTAGCAATAGCAGTACAATAACCAAGTCTATCATAATTATTACTCAAAATTGAGTCTGGCTTAGAGATGCAGGACATACTTATGTGGCCAGTTTTCTAGACTATGTTCAATGATTAAATGCCTATTGCACTCCCTTCACAGCTTAAAGAACTCTGTGTTCACACTGCAGGCTCTGACCTGCTCATTTATGTCAGGCAAGCCAGAGAATTCTGAAGTAGAGAACTGCAATAAATCATATTAAAATGATGAGTGAGTGTGGAAGCAAGTGTACAGTTTTGGTTTGTTACTTTTGCTGGCTGTATGATTTAGACTAGGTTTAGGTTAGATGTTAGGAAGAAATTCCTCCCTRTGAGTGGGGAGGGCCTGGCACAGGTTGCCCAGAGAARCTGTGGCTGCTGCATCCCTGGAAGTGTCCAAGGCCAGGTTGGACAGGGCTTGGAGCAGCCTGGGATAGTGGAAGGTCCTGGGATAGTGGAAGGTGTCCTGTCCATGGCAGAAGGTTGGAAGCTGACGATTTTTAAGGTCCTCTCCAACCCAAACCATTCCACAATTCTGTGTTTTCAGAGAGGATTGTTCCCCCATCTGCAGTTCTCCAGCAGAACTATGAGTGTTGCTTACCTKATTATGACCTGGCAGCAAACACCAGCTGCAAACACAGTCCCCTGCTGATAGAGGAAAGAAAAAGAACAGTTAGGAAATGAGCACTTTTCCATTCTTTGGTGTTAATTTGCCTCTAATTTCAGGGATTCGGTTCTGTGACAGATGCCAGCTGATCAAACCTGATCGTTGTCACCATTGCTCTGTTTGTGCCATGTAAGTTATGGGCTGTCCTTCACCCAAGTGCCAACAGTCACCACAAGGTTCTGGGAATGGGCTGCTCCTTCACAAGTCCTTTTACACAAAAAATCAGAAATCATTTTCATGTCTCTTTATCTACACCAGAACCAAGGACTTTACTTGGTCTTCAAACACTAAGAAATGTTCCACCTTAAAATTATACCTGCCTTAAGAAACTTAGAGACAGTGTCATTTGGAGTTTTTATCRTGTAGCAATCTCACAAAAATCAAAGGACTTGCTCTTGATCTGCAGTTGGTGATAAAGTACCAATTAAAAATCCTCCATTTTTCTTTTTTGTCCTTTTGCAGGTGCGTGCTAAAAATGGATCATCACTGTCCATGGTATGTCCTAGATACTGGTTTGTGGTTTTCTGAAAGACTACTTTCRTATATTTCTGTATGCCTCTCATATCTGTATACGTCTCACATTTTAGGCCATCCATCTCTTTAATTTGGGAAATGTATGAAATAATTGCACTTTGAAATTGCCTTTTTGATAATTTGCACATTTKATATTTTAACAAATCATTCATGTTTGTTCCATAGCCCATGTGTAAAAATGTGATAATATTGATAAAATTTAAACCTCAACTGCTAATTCACTCATTAACTGTTATTCAAATTTGAAAGGATCTCCAGCTTAGCCTTTTCTTTGGGCTGTCTCAGCATTTCAGCTGCACTTGGGGGTGCTTTCAATAACATTTGCACATGGATTGTTTCTGAACTGATGCTGGTCAGAGACAGTCTGTGCAGAAAACTGCATGGATGAATTGAGCTTCACACTTTTTGAGA